ATGGAGACCACAGTTTCACCAAGAGTGGAAGGCAGCGCCGGGCGAGTTACGCCACAATTTGCCAATGGATTGTAGATGCTTGGGCTAACATGTCTGCTGGCACTGTTGTTCGAGCTTTCGCAAAAGCCGGCATCATTTCCGAGGATGATGGAAAGTGCCGTGCGGAAAGTGCCGTGCCGTGCGGCTCCTCGTCATCCCAATGAGTGAGAAGCTCACCATAGATGAGCAGATGATTCTATTCAAGGGGAGACACAGGATGAAACAATACCTACCATCAAAATTTTGAAGAAAAGATACCCATGGTGATAAAAACCACCTTACATGTTGTCAAGTGTTATGACAACCGTTCTGTGACCCTTCCGAGTGACAAAATCGGGTCCAACACTGTGACCAAAGTTGACAGGTGATATCAGTCATCATTATCTTATCATATCATCTTCTTCTGCTAAATAGGTTATCTGTCACTATGTTTTAAAATGTGAAGCAATAACTAAATTAATTAATTTTTTTAATTAATTAAATTTCATTTAATTTATGATTGATATATTATTAGGGACCGTAAAGCTCCCAGGAAAACAGGGTGAAATATGTTTTTTCCCCCAAATTAAAAACTCACGCAGTAGAGGGATATGTTTGTTTTTACGTGTGTAGTGTTTTGTTGCCATATTAAGAATATTTTAGCACAGAAACTCAGAGATTGACAGACTGTACAAAGGAGGTAAGGCAACAGTTTGAAAACGGAAGACTTCTGGTTTTGATTTCTTCATTCTTACTGTGTGAGTGATGACATGTATTGTTCAGCCCCTGCAGTGGCTATCTGCACCTTAATGGTGAGCTTAACAACCATGTCTGTGACTTTGCAGTGACTAGCAAATTAACCAAGAGCAATAGGACAATAGGTAACAGGGGGTCATTTGATGCAACCTGAATTTTGTGTATGAGAAAATGATTGGAACTTTCACAATCGATTCAACAAGGAGCCAATATCGAGAAACTACAATGGAGGAAGATCATCCCCATTAGTACTTTTTCAATGTTTTTGTTGTTGTTGTTTTATGTTTGTTTGTTTGTTTCTTTTTAGAATAGCCTGATAATAATGAATTAAAAATAATAATAATAATAAATAATAATTTAGCCTAGATCTAAAAGTGTGTGACTCAGTTTTTCAACCCAAGTCTGAGAAAGTTATAAATGCATGAGTATCTATTGCAGGATACTCTCTAAGGTGAACATTAAAGAATACAGTATAACATGATCAGAAACAACTCCTGGATTTCTTGCAGGGTTATGAAAATCTTTACAGACAGTAATTTGGAGTCCAATGATTCATCTAAAGGCATAAAAATAATAATATACTTTATAATTCTGTAACCTTTATCTATTGATTCATTAACGTAATAATGAGTGGCAAAGACTGAATCCTAACCGGAGAGATTCCAGTGTACAATGTGGACTCTTCACTGCAGCAGACAGAAGCTTCACTCCCAAATCCTCCAGGTCATTGTCACTCAGGTCCAGCTCTTTCAGACTAGAGGACTGTGATCTGAGAACTGAGGACAGTGTTTCGCAGCTTCTCTTTGAGAGGTTACAGACAATCAGTCTGAAAAATAAAGAACCCAAAGACAAAAATGAAACTCACTGAAAAAAGTATATTAATGGTGTAGTGAAGAGTTACTAGAAATAACATTATTTAATGCTGGCGATGCGGAGACTCGAGCAACATTTAAAGTAATATGAAATAACTGTATTAAGCAACCAACATGTTTTCACTTGTGGCCTTCATCAGTCACGTGAAACAGTTTGTGTTTAAATAAAAGACAGGAAACATTTTTTTTTTCTCAAATGAACCAATTGCAGCTTCAATAAATAAACTAGCTGACCAATTGACATTTAATGAGGAGGTATTGGTTAGCTGGTCAATTGGTTAAGTCACAGCCCAAATTGATTCTGGACTAAACCATTAAAGATCAAAAGGGGAGGAGGAAAAAATAATTAATTAAAAAATTTAAAAAAAAAATCTCCACTTGTATTAACAACATACAGATTAAAAATTACACAGAAAAATGCAAATAAGTTCATAAAAAAAAAATTACAAGATAAAAGTTAAACAGTAAATATAAGTACAGGAACATTAAAAATGGGAGAAATAATCCAAAAATCTTGTTAGAAAACATGAAAACACAAAGGTAAATATCATAGAAAGTCTTTAATACATAAATCCTCATTCATGGTTGTAGGGTGTGAACTTTAAACTCTAAATGAAATAGCCATTATTATTATTATTTTTGTTTTGGAGGGGGGGGGGGGGTAAAATTAATATTCCCACCTCTTTGACTGTGTTTAATAGCTCATGGAGTGCAACGGGACTGGAAAAAAGATTTCTCTTAATCAAAATTCTGTGTTCATTATGTCCATTCTTTTAGTGGGCAGGATGTTTCTCCTAAATAAATTGTATTGTATGGGGATTGTATCATGTAGATAAGACTTTTTATTTCTACAAGTAATAAAGTTTTTTAACTGTCTTGAAAGTTATCATTGGTGGTACTTAAAGGTCTTTTGAAGGCTATACCAATGCTTTAATTTTTTATTTTTTTTTTTATCTAATTTTCCTGTTTTTTTGAGTGAAGGTTGTGCAAATGAGAAGATTGGATTTAAGTTTCTGGTTGGAACTGCTATCACCTCATTTTAAACAGATAAATGTAGAAATGTAGAATTTTACTGCAATTTAGAAATAACATTGAAAAACAGTAATATACAACAATAAATTAGTAAAAATGACATTTAGTGTTTTAATTGGTTAATTATGTCATTTCATGAAAAAAAATCATCTCACCTCAGAGTTTTTAGGGTACAGTGTGGACTCTGCAGTGCAAGACACAAAAGCTTCACGCCTGTATCCTTTAGGTTGTTATTACTCAAGTCCAGCTCTTTCAGACTTGAAGACTGAGCACTGAGAGCTGAGGACAGAGCTTCCCAGCTTCTCTGTGAGAGAAAACAGCCACTCAGTCTAGAAATAAAGAACACAGAGAAACACAAAAAAAGCTGGATTAGAATGTATTGATGGCGCACTAAGGAGTTACTAGTTTTGGCAAGATTTATTGTTGTTTCACGACTGACTGAAATTGCCATTGTCATCAGAAATGCGACAAATTACACTAAGTGAAAATAGCCACCAAATCTCGAAAAAAAATCCTGTTTTGAAACCAAAATTTAATGTTGAATTGAACTACGATAAAGAAAAATGTCAGGGCACACTCACAAAACAGACAAACAAACAAGCAAACTAAACAGCTCAAGATTTAAGTCTGTAAGAAACAGAAATATTTCAACACTGGAACATAGTTAAAAGTGGATCAGAGAGATAGGGAGAGAAAGGTGGGGTGGGCACTTCGAAAAGTATGATTTGGGATTCGTGGATTCTGGGACAGTCTCCGGTGGCCTGTCAGATGAGCAGTTTAAAGGATTCCAGAATTTTACTGTTGGAAATTCTGTCGCCAAAGTGCTTGCTCATAGGGGGTCATATGATTGTTGGGCTTTTCTCTGTATCTATGAAGTGCCTTGAGGCGACTTTTGTTGTGATTTGGCGCTATATAAATATAATTGAATTGAATTGAATTGAGTCCTCCTCCAAACCGTAACAAGAGGTGCCAAAGGGAAATTGGAGAGGAATTACAGATTCAACTTGGATTTGACACTCTGTATGCTCATCATCATCTCTGTGTTGGATAATAATTCAGAGAATGATTTGGACTTCCAAGTTCTCAAGACTTTCAAGGTTTTCCCTGTGGATAATAACTTTGAGCAGATGTCAGATCTTTCAAGGAATTCTCCTTTCATCATTATTTCCATCAACAAAGAGCACAAAAGTGTACCACACTATGGTGTTTTTACTTTGTACCTGCCAAGTCTTCTACAATTAAAGAATAAATTGTAGGTCTAATTGGTTATTCAAGTCTTGTTAAATATAATATTTTCCCTTGGAGCCTGAGGTCCAGGTTTCGAATACCAACCCAGGTTAACAAGTGCCTCAATTGAGAGGGGACTGCCTTGACAGGTGACGATCTGCCGAATAGGGCAGACAGAAGACAATTATGAAGATGACTTTCAGGCCCTATAATGATGCTATGGTCAGTGCTGAAGTGTAACACATAAATGGTGGTCATGTTGAAAACAGAAGGTAGACAGACAGAAGGTAGATTTTCGTGATGTTAGCAGATGTTAGGAACATACGAAGACAACAGATAGTAGAAAACACATAGTAAGACTCTTTCTCCTGATCAGGGAGGTAAATCCTTTGGTGACAGTTGTGAGGGGGGAGGTTTAAGAATGGGACTAATGGGGTTTTGTCCAGTACACTGATTAGACCAACAACAACATTATAAGGGATGAGGTTAAAAACACATGTTTACTTACAGAGCTTTATTGGAGGCTTTGACCACTGGCAGCAGCCTCAGAAGAGCCTCCTCTGAAGCAGAGTATTTCTTTAGGTCAAACACATCCAGATCTTTTTCTGATGACAGTAAGATGAAGACCAGAGCTGACCACTGAGCAGGAGACAATTTATCTCTGGAGAGACTTCCTGATCTCAGGGACTGTTGGATCTCTTTCACTAGAGAATGATCATTCAGTTCATTCAGGCAGTGGAGCAAATTGATGCTTTTCTCTTCAGACAGATTCTCGCTGAGTTTCTTCTTGATGTACAGAACTGTTTCCTGATTGGTCTGTGAGCTACTTCCTTTCTGTGTCAGCAGACCTTGTAGGAGACTCTGATTGGTCTGCAGTGAAAGACCAAGGAGGAAGCGGAGGAACAAGTCAAGGTGGCCATTTGGACTCTGTATGGCCTTGTTCACTGCTGTCTGGTGGAACGATTGTACGCTTCGTTTCTTAAATAATTTAGCCCAATTGAAGGTTGTTTCTTCTTCCAGCACATTGACTCCCGAGCTGATGAAGGTCAGATGGACATGAAGAGCAGCCAGAAACTCCTGAACACTCAGATGGATGAAGCAGAACACCTTGTCCTGGTACAGTCCTCTCTCCTCTATAAAGATCTGTGTGAACACTCCTGAGTACACTGAGGCTGCTCTGATATCGATGCCACACTCTGTCAGGTCTGATTCATAGAAGATCAGGTTTCCTTTCTGCAGTTGATTAAAGGCCAGTTTTCCCAGAGACTCAATCATCTTCCTGCTCTCTGGATCTGTCTCAGCTTTTCCGTCATACTTGACCTTCTTCA